AACCTAATTTACATGCGTTGTGTAGTATGGAACTGAACGGTTATAGATCATTCACATAGTAGTTTATATATATTGTCGTAATCTGTAATTCCATTGTTTTAATTTAAATGTTTGCTAGAGAACACGTGACGTTAAGATCGAGAAACTTCGTGAAAGTAATCGAAGGATCCAGAAAGTTTCTGTACTTGGTAGAAATGAAAATTCAATATGAATACAAGAATCAAATGTTCGAGTAAGAATTTTCGAATAGCTGATAATTGAGTGGATGTTGAATTAGTGCTTCTGTAGGTTAATCAGTAAATTATTCAGCATTTGTTACCAATCAAGTAAATTTCTGTTAAATGTTATTAGTGAATTAGGCCTACAGTGGTTATGGAGTTTCTATTTGAAATTAGGCCTATAGGTGAACGCGGCTGTAGCCAATGTTAAAAAAAAATTATTTATTATTGTTACGTGGACTGGATCTTGTATTATTTTATCAGGTAATCCAAAAGAATATATTCGGCTTTATATCAATCGAAATTATATACACAACCAGACAAATAATATATTAGAAGCAAAAAATTAGCAAAGCAAAACGGCGAGTACTTATAAATTATACCTGGTAAAAGTAATTATTAATTAGGGGTGGTGTTAGTTTTGAATATGCACAACCAGCCTTAAGACATCCATAGAGAAGCTGAGACTCGAAAAAAAGCGTTTAACACATTAATGCAAATTCAGCTAGTCCCGTTTTGTGTTTCATACATTCTTCATATTTTAATAAACTGGTACATATTTTGTTTGTAAGCTTCATTCACTTCGTTTCTCTAATAAACTCCTAGTCGCCCTTGGAATACTGTCCTTCAATTGCTGAAGCAGCAGCACCAAAGTGTGGAAGGCCTAAACCACACCTCAAGCGGGTTGTTTTACGTTCCTTGGTGTAGACGGCTTACAGTATTTATGGCTTTATCTGTAGTCGACGTAGCTAAGGAACCTACTAAGCAGGGGTCACCCTTGTCTCGTGTGTTTCTTTTATGTATATTATATGGCTTGGAATTCCTTATTCTGGCGTCCATATATAATGTGTAAATTTTACGAATCTGCGACGGTCCGCGGCTCTGCAGGTGTAAGGCTTCGACCCCGTTAAGCCTAGCTGTTTGTTAAAAAGATTTACGGCACGAGAAGCATGCGGATAAACTTAAAGAACGTTGCAGTCTAGCTGCCAGTTAAGTTTAAAAATTATTTCTTTCACATAGTTATGAGAAGACCGTGAAGAAGCCTTGACGTGATATGAGGAAAGAGCCAGTAACGGTTGATGTTGGAACCACTTAGATATACTAACATAGGCCTAAAGGTTAATTCACTTCAACTTTCCACTCGAAGTCATCACTGTCTTCAGAGTCGACCAAGTGTCTGATAATATGCTGCATAAATGTATAGAGGTTCAGGAATTAATAGCATGCCTAAACACTGTCAAGAATGAGGACAAGTCGACGACCCCTTTTAGTTTGATACATATAGTCATATGCATTCGTGAGGGAAAAATTAATTACACGCTAGTAGATAAATAATAATAATAATTTTTACGTCAGTGTTAATGAAGAGCGGAACATTTATTCAAAAGTTGTAGCCTGCACTATATGCGTTGTTAGTAATTAAACTGATCGATTCAACGGCTTTATAATCTCAGAATATGATTGATATAAGCACCAAGTTTATCATATTTTATTTTAGCTAAATAACGCCTCAACAGTCATTGTAAATACCACTCCTGGGTTCGAGACCTCATCCTAAAAGTCAAGAGAAAACGAGTGCTATTGTCAAGTGGCTGGTAAAGCACTAATCTTTTCGTCCCCGCACCATCTCGGACCGGTGGTATTACAAGCTAAGGGCTCCTGCCTTAAAGTCTCGGCTCCGGAGTCACTTCTTGCTAATTGTCTTTTCACGTAAAATATTTATTACTACGTGTTCATTTTAGCAATTAATGTGTAGTAGATTTGTTGCGCTCTTTGCATGCAATTATATTGGTTATAGAATTTGATACATTTGAAATTATCACAGAAATATTTCCACTTGAGTCTTAGCTTTCCTTCTGTTTACTGTATTACGATTGTTTGTAATTA